TGCGACTGCATTTGTTCCGATTTTATTATCACAAGGACAACCATATTTGGTCTATCAGAGTCCTGAACACTTCATGAGAACCGTGGAGCTAAGTTAGTAATAAAGCAGCCGATATTTCGCCAAACGTAATTGTGTCTATCTATGAATTATTCGATTGACTCATTCCTAAGTATGAGAAAATTTGCAATTGAGCGTAAATATTTTAAAATGACACCTTGTGGAAAACAGTATATTTTACAGATTGAAGACTTAGATCTCCCATAAAATTGGAAACTGGGTTCCAATTACATTTCAATTGAGCGTTCATCCTCAGTCTTTATAATTTTGGTTTTCACTTACAGTTAATTTTGTTGTTGAGGGACACATCCGGAAATTGATACAATTAAGTGGGAATTTAATGGGAACGTCAGGAAATCACTCTCTTTTCAGAGGATATTGTTTTTAATAACTAAATGTTGCTAAGTTAAGATGTATTGTGGTTACAAAAATGAGAACTGAGAAAAACACAGTTATGATTAAGTAAAACTCCTGCAGTTTGATGACTGAATATCGGTAAACGTGAGATCTACAAGCGGAAAATGAAAAATTCGTTGAATATCAATCATTCAATCAATAATAATAATAATAATAATAATAATAATAATAATAATAATAATAATAATAATAATAAAGGTATTCACTTGAATTATCGCTAATATAACAATAACAAATTAACAATTTGACAAAAACGCGAGATTTAGTCTATAAACACTTTGTAATACTGTTTTATTAACCCGAGGAAATAGAGGAAGAAAAGCATATAAATTTACATTTTATAAGTTGTAACTTATATCAAACAAAAATGATTAGTGTTCATGTGACAATCGTCAAATCACATTTAGAACAAAGTTATTTGGAACTTTCTTTAATTTATTCATACAGTAGCTTTTGAGAAACTTAAGTTTTAAAACGTTTGAGGTTAATTAAGTTTTTCATTTTATTTGGTAAATTATTTAAATATGAAACAATATTATATGAAAAGGAGCGTTTAAAATTTCAGTTCCACTGGCGCGTGCATTCTTGTTTTTTGCTTCAACTTTTAAGGAAAAGTGGGGATGCCTGAATATTTCCAGAATTAAATGTCAGAACGAGCATTTTTTCTAACTCGCAATTGTTGGAGAATACTCTTCTTAGGCTGCCCAAGTTAATAAGTTTGAAATGACGTTAATTGAACATTTATACAATTGCTAAAATGAAAAAATTGTGTTGGTGCATTAAAAATTTCAAAAGTTATAAACAATTAAAGATGGTAAAATGAAGTGTTAAGTTTTTTGCTTATAGTTAGTGAATTAATAATTTTTTTATATTTTCAAAAAAGGTTCCTTAAAGAGGAGGATTAATAATTTTAGTTTAACCTTGAAAGTCGCCGCATGACGCGCGCAAGTTAGGGAGTTACAATAAGACATTTTTTAGGATATATAAAGAAGATTCAAAAATTTAAAGCAATTATGGTAGACCATTGTAAAGTAACAAGTTTTTTCTGCTTTCGTCTGTAAAATGCCTAATTACACAACGATCCAGCGTGCGGGAAGCGTCACTTTACAACGTGAGTTTTTCGTTCCACGGATCCAAGCCTCTTCGGACATTTTCGGGATATTACCGCACGGATTTGGGAGCAATCGGATGTTTTCGTTTCGGATGTGTTCGTGTTTTCACTGACGGTCATGTCAGTGAATGTATTGTATTAGTGTTGTTTTTCCCCAAAAACTAAAGGTCGTAGAAAAAGTATAGTATGTAACAAGTTCGGTAAAATTTTGAAGTCACTCGTTTATTAAACACTATTTCAGGGACTTCCTTTATCATTGCACATTAAAAAAATGTATTTAATTAATTGCCGTACAATTTTTCCGCTTTATGGAGCCTTTCTTGTATTTTATGAGTAAAATAAGATGGGGTGAATAAAAGTTACAATTAATTTTATGCTTTGTTTATAATTATTTTTTGAAGTGAACATAAGAAGAAAATTCACGGTAATGTAATGTTTTTTTTTTTTCGTTTGTCATTAACTTACCATTTTTAAGTTAACAAAATACATTTTTTCACCAAAAAAAATGTAATCGCATTTGTTTATCAATTTTTTATAAACAAATGGACTATTACCACATTTTGAATTTTTTGTTACATCTTCATGAAGAAGTGACATTTACGATTTATGACGCTGTAATTTTTAAAACTTTCGCACAAACAAGTTAAGAATTTGTTTATAACAAATTGTTAATACAATAAACAATGAAATTGTTAACGAAAAACAAAAAACTTGAATGAAAAATTTCAGCGGTGATAGGTTTTTTGAAATTTTTAGATTACCATAATTTTTTTTAGCTTTTGAAATGTACTTTATATTCCCAAAGAAAATTTTTATTGTAACTTACTAACTTGCGACGCCATTTGCGCAACCTCAATATGGCACTATTAATAATATTATTAATATTAATATTAATTAATTAATTAATTAATTAATATTAATAATAATTAATTAATAATAATTAATAATAGTTTGGAGAATCCCAATTTTTTTTTATATATTTCCTCCTCTTTAAGGATGTTTCGTTCAAAATCCAAAAAAAATATTAGTTTACGAACTATAAGCAATAACTAAACATTAATTTTTACCTTTAATTGTTTATAACTTTTGAAATTTTTAATGAACCAGTCCAATTTTCTCCCACAATTATCTAGACATTATTCAGAGTCGAATGAGCTATAACAAATAATTTTACTAATAGCGTTATTTTTAACTCATAAACAAGACTATGAACGCGGCACTTGATGGCATGCATGCAACAATATAACTATTGCTGCAATTAAAGGTATCGTATGTTCATAGATATAAGAAAGTGACCAAGTGCTTTTGAATCGGATTATCCAAGGGTGGTCATTAACATACAATGCAACAAGATTATTACCTAAAGTTTCAGAATTTAAATTCAGGTAAAATTGTGGTCCGTAATAGAAAATAATTTTATACCTACCTCTGTTTAATATTCTTTGGTTTGGTATACTACTTGCTTTAAGTTTATCAGTAACCATTATTATTTCGTATGTAATACAGCGTGTGTTGAATCGTGTGCGAATTATGCAAAAGGCTAAGGAAGTTATAAACAATGTTTATTTGACTCTCTGAACGTGGTGCCAGCAAGCAAGCATCTTTAGAAGAAACGGCCACATTGACGAAGATTGGAAAATCAACTGTATGGAAAATTGTGAAAAATCCCATTTCAGCGAGGAAAAAAGGAAGCGATGCTGACATTTTCTCGAGTGTAGATGAAAGTGATCAAGATATAGTGCGGCGTACAATTTACCAGTGATACGAGGAACAAAGCGTGCCTACATTAGATATCTTAATTAGGAGGCTTGAAAAAGATGAAACCGGTGTTAAATGTGGCAGGACTACCTTATGGAAGTGTATTCAACACACGGGTTTTAGATTTAAAAAAATGACAAATGGCAAGTTTTAATGAAATCATTTAGAATTCGGAAATGGCCACTGGAATATCTAGAAAAAATTAGGATTTACAGAGAACAACAAAGGCCAATTATTTACTTGGATGAAACCTGGTTTGACACTTATGATACCCTGAAAAAGGGAAGGGTTGACTCAACTGACAAGTGTAAAACAAACGCGCCATCAAAAAGAGGTATGCCGGCTCTAAAGATGGTTTATTTGAAAGTTGGTTTAAAAACAAACTAGTTCCAAGCATTCCTCTTAATAGCGTCATTGTATTGGACAATGCAAGTTATCACTGTAGACAATTGACTAAAACCCCTTCCTCATGTGACACAAAAGCAACAATCCAAAACTACGTGTATAATAACGACATTTATTTTTACTAAGATTATACCACAAAGCAATTAATTGAGGTTCTACAAAGATTGAACCTACAAAAGGAATACCTCTGTGCTAATTATGCAAAAAATCTAGGGCATACAGTTTTAAGGCTTCCACTTCACCACTGTATATTTAATCCCATTGAACATGTTTGGTACCAACTAAAATCTGCCATTCGTCAAGTTTTTAACATCCCTCCATAAAGTTGGGCAAATTCTGTTAAACATGTAGAAAAAGCAGAACAATCGTATATCCATATTGCAAATAATATAGAACAAATAATAATTAAATCAGGCGATGATAGCGATAGTGATACTGCTATATTATGTGAATAATTTTAAGTAATTGTAATTTTATTTTAGATTTAAATATAAATACACACATAAATAAATAAATATTGTTTAGTATCTTTCCTAACAAAACCTCAAATAAATAAATTCTAAGCAAAGTACGGACCTGTTCGGCCATATTTCATTCTTACAGCTTGTCCGGGTCTTTCCTTAATTCATGTCAGTTGGTCACTTTCTTATATCTATGAACAGACTTTAGGGTCGGATACGTTAATGAAAACAGGATATTGGTATTGCTTTCCTTGCCTATAATGTTAATAAAGAAATAAGAACTCGAAATAATGTCGCATCTTTGGGAATATTTTCAGAATGCTATCATAAACACGAAGCACATCAAACGCTTCCACAGGTGGAAAAGGCATATTTACAAATAAGGTCACCAAAATACACTCTAAATTGCTGCAAACTTAATATGATTGACACTCATACCCTATTGTTATTATTTTTGTTATTTGTTATCCAAACCACCATCATTTTAAAAATTTCGAGCTTCCTGTGGACAGCATTAAATATCATTAACATTTTAAATATATTTTAACACTAAATTTTTGAAAGTAATCGAATCTATCCTATCTTTAAAATGGTGTTCATTTTAGCTGTCTGGAATATAAGATGATTTCTTAATAACATCCAAAATTTGATTAGGGGAGGGAATCTGCGGCTATTCTATAAATTCAAAAATAATTTCCAGCGTTTTGTCTTGGCCACTTTGGCCATAACTTTTTTCACAGCAGCAAGCCTTTTAGAATGAAAACGACTGATTAAAGTAATCATTTTTTCAGGTATCGCGCATCACCTGGCAGGTTTACCGGGCCCACCTCCGGAATGGGCTCTGTTAGGGCGCCACGCGTACCCCCACGGACCTCTAATCCCCCACCACCATCATCATCCACATTTTCCGCACCACATGTTTGCGTCGCTGGACCGTCCACTTACTCATCAGTCGTCACCGCGAACCTCCACTGGTAAAAAATGTTTGACCAAAGCCATCTCTATATTCACCAGGTCACTATTCCTATTTCAGAACCATCTTCCACATCGTTAGGACCTATATCAATAAATTGTGGGAGCGCTCCTCATAGCACGACGTCCCCAAGAGGCTCGCCTGTACATGTTGGATTACTGGCCACCGCCGATGGGTCAAAGTCACCACAGGAGGACGACATATCAGTCACAGCATCGCCTACACCTTCGCCCAAACCGTTACCGGCGTTCCCAGGAGTTAATCCTGGCATTCACAGCAACCAACAGTTATTTAATAACGCTTTAGCTGCTAGCTTATTCTTAAACGCTCCTCTTCTGCCTGCTCCTAGTCAGTGGTTTTATTCGCAACTTTACCCACACGATTGGAGTTGGATCAACTTACGACACGCGTCTCTGGACCAGTCCCATTCGCCACTGGAAGATAACTCTCAGCACCCTGACAGTTCTAGCGAGAAGGTGGACGTCACTGAATTAGACGACGAGGAAAAAGCAGAAAAATCGGATACTTCGGAACCGTCGGAGAACAAGAAAAATTGCCAGGGCGTAAATTTGAGCATCAAAGTGGAAAAACTGAAAAAATCATCCGTTAAGTTTGATAAGCAAAAAGATGTCGTTTCGCATGATAGAGATAGCCTGAAGAATGCCAGGAACGACAGCAGTGGTAGACAGTCAGATGTGTGGAGGCCGTATTAAATGAAAGTAAATTTGAAAAAATGTTTAACAATATTTTCGTATTATCCTCGGTTCGAGAATATCGGTGGTCATAATATTTTTCTTGTTGAATTGAATATTAACGGTAATTGTATTTCGAACCCGGTATATAAGTCTGAGCCAGTTTATATTAAACTTATTATGATAAATTTTGACAAAGACATATTTATCAATGAGATACAAGGAAAAAACAAGAAATTGATTAAAATGTTTCAAGGAAATTGACTTTAAAATGTGCTGCTTAGGAAAATTGTAAACAATTCAATTATGTTATTAATTTGTGCTTACTTCTTTTTATCTTCAATATCCGTATAGTGCTAGCTCTTTTAAAAATCCTAACCGCACTTGCAATTTTTTTTCTGTTTAAATTTTTACAAAACATTATCCCACTTATGTCGATAATAAATATTGTGTAAATATTCGTGTAAAATGAAATACATTGTTATAAATCGATTAGGCTCTTTTGAATTCGGTTTTTTGTTGATTATTATTAATTAATGATTTGTAAATAAATTGTTGTATTATATGTCTCTCTTTTTGTTCGTTTAAATTCATGTACACTGGTTAAACCATCAAAAACTTCAAATTAAAACAATTCCACCTTAAAATTATTCCTTGCACAGAGGAGTGGTAGCCGTAAAACAGAACAAATGGCTAAATGGTAAAATAGAAGCATTCTAATATGATAGAAGTTTTCTGGAAGGCTTTCGTACCATCTTGAATTTTGTACATGGAATATTTTGTGATTTTTTTCCACTATCCTAAATTATTCTACACTGTATCCTTACAGATACGCAAACTAAATATCAATAATATTAACTTATGAAATATATCTGGTCAAATCTATTTACTCTAACTGGTTAGTCTTAGTTTCCATCTTTCTGCATCCATTTTAAAATGGTGTAAAATAAAAAGGTCATAAAATCATTATCAGCCGAATGAGAAAAATAACAGTAATTTGTGATTTTTAAGTAATAATGAACCAAAAAAATTATATTATAAAAATAATTGTAGATTTTCGTTGAGTTGTCGTCACAAAATCAGAAGATGTCTTTCATTGTCAGATTTGTCATTTATGCTCTCAGCAATGAAATAAAAAGCACTTTATCATAGTTTTATCTATGGGAACAAAAACATCTGCTTTTGTGAGGTTATGTTAATCTACCAATAAATGTTCACCGCTGAGGTGGACACAATTTTATTGAAGTTTGGTAACTCTTTACCCACTGTTTTATTTCAGTTTTCGTATATATCAGGGGTTTATTAATAATACTTAGGTAGAACAATTTTTGGTTCCCACCATTCAAAATCTAATTGATTGAATCGGTCAGTTACCAGGCTCCGTCAAGTTTAAAGTTGGGGGGGGGGGACTTAAAGTAGTCACACAACTGACCTATTTAATTAACTAAATTTTGCAAACAATCTTTTGAAATACTGTATTAGCAGTGGGTAAATAGGGTAAACTAGATGTTTCCAACGCATCAACAAAAGCGCGTTTCCTGCTTTCCTGCATTATATTTTTTGAATTTTGCGCAATTTTCTATAACCAATGCGCAATTTTGCACATCTTCCTGGGGAAATGACCCTCCCAAATTTCAATACTTCTCCCTTACCTCAATTAAGTTAGAACTTTCTTGAACCATTAGAATCTTGGAATCTTGTGCAATCACTTTAAAATATTGCGCAGCTTCCTGGGGAAGATTAAGACCTTCCTAAATATAAAAAAAAATCAAATAATAAATTGAAATTTTATTATTATTGTAGATACAGATCTTTTGGATTCCAGTTGCTTTTGGGTGTTGTAGTTGGTAATCTTTTAAAATACTGTAATAAAACATTGGGTAAATAGGATAAACTTGATGTTTCCAACCCATCAACAAAAGCGAGTTTCCTGTTCTCCTCCATTATATTTTTTGAATTTTGCGCAATGCGCAATTTTGCACATCTTCCTGGGGAAATGACTTTGACGTTTCGCCATACGCTTCTTGAGAGGGCTGTCTGAAACTGTCATATGTAGGAGAAATCTATGAGACAAATTCCATATATCCATGCCATTAAAATACCAACATTTAATTGATTGCGCAAAATCCAGAGATTCTTGTATAAAAAAAGAGTTTTTGGAACGTCATATTTTTTCGAAGGGAACTGCTCAAATTCTTGCGTTTATCCCCCCCTCTCAATTTTAGTTTGAACGAAAAATACTTAGGACAGTAAATTTGACGATGCAAGAAGGTGTGTAATGGTGGAGAATGCAAAAGCGTGCCATTTTGAATGACGTGTAACTTCAAACAATTTTATTTTGCTTTGTTGGTCGGCCCTCATCTTGCTGGATCTATTTTCTACAAAGACAACGCTCAAAACTAATGATTCGCATTGTCGAATTCTGGAACCGTGAAAACGTTTTAGGAACTTCCGGTCGACTTTGTGGACACCCATGTGCGAATCTAATTTGCTTAGTGCGTCTGTATTCATTTGTCCAAATTACGCAGCTACGACGCCAACGGTCCATCTCGATCCGTACCCTCTAGCTATAGCGCCATCCGTCGCGAGGGTTCGGCATGGCCGACTGTACGAAAGTAACGTCATGTTAGAAACACACAGAGGAGACCCCAAACTCAGAATTAATGATTGCTTTTATTGAAACTTCAATTTCTTGATTAGGACCAGCGGGCGCGGCTGTGACCCCCCCTTTTGTTTTTTGGCCTCCGTGAATGTGAATTATTTTCGCAATTTGTTTCGCATTCTTGGGGTTCGGGGCCGGTGCGGCTGTTCGTAATTATTGGGGAATTTCGGATAAATTGGGTGCGTTAGGGCGCCAGTCGTAAGGACGTCGTTTTGTATTTTATGATATACAAATAATATTAAAGTATAAGATACTTTTTATCATAAAATTGATTTATGATAAAAATGAAAAAAACAATGCACATAAAAGTGTATACTGGTGGCGTATTTCAGAAAAGCTTAGAGTAATAATATTGGAAATTCATAAATACAAATAGTATTAAAGTATAAGATACTTTTTATCATAAAATTGATTTATGATAAAAATGAAAAAAACAATGCACATAAAAGTGTATACTGGTGGCGTTTTTCAGAAAAGCTTAGAGTAATAATATTGGAAATTCCGTCCAGTTCCGCTCGATTTCGGTGTCTGCCTTATGCGTAGGTCAATTTATATAAAGTAAAGGGCTAAAATGTGAAACAAGTTAATTTATAAATCCGGTATAGTAATTAAAGAAAAACGTTCATACACGTCCATCATATTTTTTCTGCCACTATGAAACGCAGAGAATTGAATTTTTTGATGAGAGAAAATAGTGCACATCTACATCTAATTATAAGACCAAATTATTAAAAAAAATTAACCATCTTTTTTTCTTTATATCTTTGCTTCATACCAGGGCATTCTGTGATTTTTTTTTTCGCATCGTATACTTACAGTATTTGTTGTTTCCTTTTTTATAGAATGAAGATATGTATGTATTAAGAGAAGAAAGTACATCGTTTTTTTTTAACTATTGAGAAATAATGAAAGTGGCTTAAGCATTGAATAGTTAGATCACTCTGTAGTTCCTTTGCTTACCTAATGATTATTACAAATGCGTTACAAGTATACAGTGAATTAATTCAAGATACAAGTTCTTTAATGATGTTTATTTTTCAACTTTTTACTAATTAATGTACATTGTCTGTGTCTGAGTCTATCTTGGTAGATCCACAATTAAATTTTGATGCACATTGTGATTATATAATGAGAAAGTTCTCTCACAAATGGTGGGCTTCATATATAGAGCAGGCAAAAATTTAGCAAGTTACTTTACAATAACTTGGCGGCGCCACGTTTGCAATATTATTCAACTTTATTGCTTAGCATACCTAACTATAGAATGTTCATGGCTATAGAAACCGTACTGATTTCATCCTAGTCAATCGATGTAAAACTACAGATATGTTGAATACCATTTTAAATAAAGGTTTGTTAGAGTTTAATAGGCTGCCAATTACATAACATTAAATATTACATTATACTAAAAACTACAATGGCAATCAAAAATAAACAAGGAAGAAGAGTTATTCAATGTAAGGGGTTCGTTAAACAAAATTACTTTAAAAATGAGAACATTTTCCACAAATCCCATAGCAAAGCTAAAACTCCAATATTTTGCTACAATGTGCTATTAACAAGTTGACCGATCTGTTCGGCCCACCAGGTATGTTTTATTTATCCCGCAGCATAAAACAAGATCTTTAATTAATTCCAATGTGACCGTATAAAATTATTTTTACGTCTAAGCATTATCCCAATAAGTAACTATAGAATGCAAACGCGACTGGACATTGGGAATACTTGGACGAAACAATTGCAAAAATCGCCCAGTCGGCGTTCCCCGTAACGGGAGAAAGCGGTACATTGCGTCGAAGAATGTGAAAGGGATACAAGCCCTCGGTTTGCTATCGTAACCGTACGCACCATTTAAGAATTTAAAAATATATCTGCATTTAAATTTTTACTTCGTAAGTTCGCGAGGGGAGCATGTAAAAGCAATTTGTTTAAAGTGAAAAGAATCCGAGCGAGAAACTAATGTCTTGTTATTAAGGGGGGCTGCTGCAAATGACGGTTGACAAGGGCTTTATAACTTCTGCCAACTAAATCAAGTTCCCAAAGATATACTATCAAAAACTATAAATTATAATATTAAATATCATCTTCTGCTACCTTTGCAAATCCATTAGTGGACGTTTGCGAATACATTTTCCATTGTTCCTCTATCTTGGGCGGCATGAACCAACGAATGTATGTCCATGGTTCGCCTGAACTTCGCAGAGATGATATCTCCTTCCGTCCCAATCCTTTTCTGCCCTCTATCTTGTCTTCTATGATCAGTTGCAGGAGTCGGTACTTCTGGCCTCTCATGACGTGACCGAGGTAGGCTATCTTCCTCTTCCACGTACTTGTTGTAGATCTTCTATGTTATCTGTAATGAAAATTGTGTAATCCGCATACCGTATGTTATTTAATTTTTTAAAGAAACTTACACAGGGTAATGTAATACTATAAAACTATCTCAGCCCGAGTCATTGGACACAGAATTAAAACCCCTTACCTCTTTTCTTCTCTCTAATAATTTCCACATTAAAGATATTAAGCGTTCTATCGCAAAATACACTTCACCACAACCTTCCAATAGCAATGAAACCGAAAGCAATGCCACACTTGCCACTGTTGTCCTTCATTATATTCAAAACCTAACTGACCACATATCAAAAGTTCTAAAGAAATATAACGTCAAAACCAGATTTACCACTTCTCCAAAAATCTCTCAACATCTTCGATCCTTCAAAGACAAAATTCCATTTCAGGAGTTTACAATATTCCATGCATATGCGGCCAAGAATACATTGGAGAGACCGGACGAAAAATATCAACTAGGCTTAACGAACATGAAA